GCTGTATTCAAAAGGATTGCCGTCCCAGCCCACCGCGGCGGGAAGGGAGTTGCTTTCAGGTTTGTTTCCTAGCAATGGACAGAGAGTGTCTCGATAGTAGTCGAGGAATTGGCGCTGTGCTTCTTCTGGGTAATTGGCCTCATGAAGCATTCTGGAGAGATCAGACCCGCTGGTGCGCCACCAGTAGGACGGACCTTCGCCATTCATTGAACATGCTGTATCAGTAGTCGTCTCCATAGCAGTCGTCTCCATGGCAGGCGTCTCCTCAGAAGGCGTCTCCATAGGCGTTTCCATAGCAGGCGTCTCCATAGCAGGAGTCTCCATAGCAGGCGTTTCCATAGCAGGCGTCTCCATAGCAGGAGCCGTCTCCATAGTGGCCGCTTCCATAGCAGGCGTCTCCTTAGCAGGCGTCTCCTTAGAAGGCGTCTCCATAGCAGGCGTTTCCATAGCAGGCGTCTCCATAGCAGGAGTCTCCTTAGCAGGCGTCTCCATAGCAGGCGTCTCCATAGTTGCCGTGGCAGTCTGCATAGATGCCGTGGCAGGCGTCTCCACAGCAGGCGTCTCCATAGTTGCCGTGGCAGTCTGCATATTCAAAGATTGAATTTAATGAAGTGTCCCAAATTGTGGCAAACGAAGCCTCGTATTCTCTGGCCTAGTGTACGAGAACCACGGAATTTCCTGCGCTGGATCTGGGGAGTTTTGGCATTGCCCGAGTCGCCAGTGTCTTCTTTACTTGGCACTACAAATCGGGCCTCGGCCCAGTGTCATATGTGAATTTTTGAAAGCCCCATAATCTCCCTGCCTCTTTAGTTGGACTGGGGATGATTATTTCAGGGTCTTTGGGGCTCGAACTGGTACTCGTTTGATTTCCTTGTTGTTGCATGCAGGAACATGCACGCAGTTTGAGCTAAGGACCACTTGCATGTTACTTAGCGCCGACCCATCTGTTGGTCGCCAAGTAGTAGTGCTGGGTAACACCAGCCGCCCCAAGTAAGCGCAGGAAGCCGCCAGTGGTCAAGGAGAGGAAATGTTTATCATGGGCCACTTATAGTATCGGCAAATCTAGCATGGGCCACGCTGTCTATTATGGGCCATTCCCAATTTTCTCGCCTCCAAAGTAATCACCTGCCCAATGCGGTTGGCCTTCGCATGTGTTGTCGTCGTCATCGTTATTGTGCGTTGTCTTCGTCGTCATTATCGCGCAATATATATACCAAATCTAACTCGAATGTTAACCACTAAACCCTGTCCATTGCATCCGGCGGCTCTTCCAGGGGACAACTGCATTGAGCCTACTCTAGCCTAACCCCCTAACCGCCGTGTGACGGCGACCGTAGTGAGGAGGTAATTATTTCGAGAAGAGAAGTTGTGTGTCTAGCGGTGTTGCGCCCTTGCCAAAAGGTTGGCCCATCGTGAACGTTCCGCTGCTAGAGGTGGCCCATGATAAACGTTTCTTCGGTCAACTACCAATTTCAGCTCGGCGCGGACAGCATTGAGTGCGACTCAGCTTCGCCTTGGTTACCTTTGGGATAAATACAATGACATGGATATATGGCCCATAGCCCCCAAGCCGCCACCGGCGCTCCACATCCCGGAATCCACATCCGCGGTTGATGTGAGGGTCATCGATACGTATGTGCGCTCCCGTCGCTAGGGCCAGGTACCGTCTAGTAGGATGAGCAGTTGAGCTGGGGCGACTGACGTGATGATAGTAACACCTTAGTCCATTTGAACCCAGAGCTCTTCTGGCAGCCCAAGGTGGATGGCTTCGCCGGTCTCGACGCGCCCATATACTGCTTTCTGATATCGAATGGCAGCCAGCACGTAGTCTTCGACCTCGGCGTCCGTTCAGACTGGCAGAATTACGCACCCAAAGTCGTCTCGCTCATCAAGGCAACTACAGTGATCACGCGGGGATCGGATGTGACGTCGGTGCTAGACACGGATGACAGCGGCCTTAACATCCATAGCGCCGATATCCAAGCCGTCATCTGGTCGCACAACCACTTCGACCACATCGGAGACGTATCCAAGTTCCCACCAAGCACCGACCTCGTCGTAGGACCTGGCGTCTGCGCAGCTTCTTGGCCTGGCTGGCCGCGGCGTCCCGACGCCATTGTGCTTGACAGCGATGCGGAGGGTAGAGTAGTCCGGGAGATTTCTTTCGAGGCGAGCAGCCTGAAGATCGGCAGCTTCGACGCCTATGACTTCTTTGGCGACGGATCTTTCTACCTCCTGGAGGCACCTGGCCATGCCGTCGGACATCTGTGTGGTCTCGCCCGGACTACGGCCCATGATGATGAACCGTCCTTTGTCTTCATGGGCGCTGATGCTTGTCATCACCCGGGGGTCCTCCGACCCAGCGACTACCTGTCATTACCGTCGGCAGACACCCTGCAGAGCACACTTGCAACTACCAGAAGCTCTCCAGAACAATGTCCCGGTGCCCTGTTCCAATCGCATCTGACTAGTCCCAATGCACCATTCTTCACAATCGCACCCGGGCCCCTGTTTCCAGACCACGATGCAGCAATGCTCACGGTGCGCAAGATCCAGGAGCTCGACGCGGCGGATAATGTCTTGGTCTTAATGGCCCATGACTTGTCTCTACGGGACAAGATTCCTCTATTTCCAGAGACAATCAATGGGTGGAGAGTCAGTGGGCTAAAGACCAAAACCCGGTGGCTTTTTTGTAATGATTTCTTGTCTGCTTGATAGACTCCTGCCAGTCCGCCATTAAAAAGGCCGTGATTGTCCCGAGCTCAACAATGTAATCCAATTCACCGAAGTACTTAGGCGGCCGAGGTTGCTTATTGTATCAGGTGCTGCTCCCGACGGTGACGAATTACAAGTTAATATGTTCTTATTGAATAGAGAGAGATCTCTGCTAAATGAAGAAAGCTAAAATAAACTATCTATAACGAAGCTAGTAACTCTATTTAAAGAAGAAGAGTAATTAAAATTAGTAGACAGCGGTAGTTCGGGAGGTCGTCCCGCCAGAAAGAAGTTGCTGGGTACGCCCCGGGCTGATTCCGTAATAGAGGGGTTTCGCAACTTTTTTCTTACACCCTTAGTCTCACAGCAATACCAGATTCCAACATGCGTACTAGAGTGTATCCGAGACTTTTCCGACAAACTAATGAACCTCCGAGCATCAAATATGCTTTCAAGTATATACTAACAGGCTTTAATGTGTCTAGTGACGGCTATCTATGCCTCTTATAGTCAATAATCCTCAAAGTTAATTAGTGGAGCGATTCTACTATTAGTAGAATCGTTCCATTAACTTTAGCGCGTGTTAGACTTTGTCAAATTCTGTTAGATTTCCGAGCCACCGCTAGACTTATTTGAGATAAAATTACATCAAATAAGGTAGGAGATTGTGTACGAAAAAAGTTGCGAAACCCCTCTCATTACAAGTATCGGGTGCTGCCTCGGTACTGCAAAAATAATTATCGTTTAGCGTATACTCGTACATATTCGATATGCCCGTTACTTGATAATATAGTCTAAAATCTATTTTAATAATTCGTTTATTCTTTTATAATAATAGTATAAAAATATTAAATTATAGAACGTAGAATAAGATTTCTAGAGTTTTAAGAATTTTATAAATTATAATTATATTAATAACGTTATATTCTAATATAATAAAGTTTACTTAAATTTTATAAGCTCTACGTCGCGTAATAGAGTAAGAATAAAATTTAAAGATCAGTTTTTAAGAGAATATTCTCTAAAACTTACTCTCGAATTTATTAAATTTAATATCGTATATTATTAGATAACGAATATTATCGAGTATATACGAGTAGTCTCTTAACGATACTCGCTAGAGATATAGCTCTACAGCGTTTAACGCTTTAATTTTATAATCTTAGAAAATAATCGTTTAAGATAATTTCTACGCGGAAGTATTATATAAAGATACTTTACTATAATATATATAGCTATTATTTATTAACTAAAGTTAAAAAAAAAATTAAAAATTAACTTTAGTTAATAAATAGAAATGAGTAAACTTTTTTATTTCATAAATTTAATAGCTCGATTAAAGATTCAATTCGACTCGCTCGATAACCTCGCTTTTCATTTTATATTAGTCAGATCTATATGACTAGATAGTAAGTATTAAGTGATCGTTGTAGACTTAGCTCAACTCTGACTCTTAGATTCCGATTAACGATCGCTCGCGAGCTGAGTTTACCTGTTATTACTAGGAAACGCAGTTTACTAGAAAATATAGTTTTTTCAAATCCGATAAATCCGACGTAATACTAAAATATCTACTTCTTATTAAAATTATATAGTAACTAGATATAATAATAATATATATCTTACGATCTATATAGATATATAGCTACTTCTATAAGTTAAATTTAATATAATAAATAAATCTAGTTACTATAAAGTAAGTATAAGTATTAAATATAATATTTACTCGCTAATAGTTAAGCGAGCTTTTTTATCTCTAGCTAATCTATTACTTCTTATTTAAAATCGCTTAATTTTAAACTTAAATAATAGATAGTAGTATATATTAACTACGATATCTATAAGTATAAAGCTTCTATAATTACTATAGAGTTATTACTATTAATTAAGAAGTAAATTATAATTAAGATAAATAATTCTAAATTCTTTTATTAATTATTACTTAGCTAATAATAAGCTAATTTATATTATTTAAACTTTGAATTATATTATAGAATATACTCTATAGTTTATACTCTTTAGAATATAGATTTTAATACGTTAGGGTAAGTCAGGCTATATTTTAGTGGGAAGTAGGCATTTTAGTATTGCGCCGGATTTATCGGATTTAAAAATACTGCATTTCCTAGTAAACTGCGTTTCCTAGTGATAGCAGGTAACGCTCGACTCGAGGGTCACGCTACGCGGTATTTGAAGCTAGATTTATCTATCTTCAATCACATCATTGGGTTTTCTTCTTTGTCTTGAGAAAGCGATCTATAGTATTGTTGCCCACGCTCTATCATCTATGACTTTTTATCAATCTGTATCGTCACACTTGTCCCCATGCCGACTAGAAGGACCATGTTGGCGTCCAACTGTGCGCGTGTGCACGCCATGCTGATAGATACCTGATACATAATTGCCGATTGAAAGTCTAAGCTCTGAGTCGAGGGACTCGTACTGGGGCTCGTGCCCGCGCTTATACTTGTGCTCTTGCTGGCAGCCATGTCCGCTGAAGAAGCCTGAGCAGGACTTGCTTCTGCTCCTGTCATATTGCTGAGGGTAGGTGGGGCCGTCGCGGGCTGGGACGGGGTGTGAAAGGTGCTCAGCGAAGTAGTGAGGTTTATATCTATGGGACTGGTGTCTACGTCCAAATCAGTGAGAGTGTTAATGGGGTCATTCGGATAAGGGGAAGTGGAGCAGCAGAGATCTACCATATATGCTTTTCGGCAAACTCGTGTTCATTACGCCTGGTTCCGGAACGTTGTAGAAGTAGCTTTCCCCTGGTGTCGGGTACTGAGAAGGGCTGTTCAGCCCGAGTAGAGTCTGGTATTGCATGTGATTCGCCCTGTCGATCGCCGAGTTGTCCGTGGATATGGGCTGCGCCTTATCATCCATGGAATTGGCAGAGACGATACTACGCGCGGCCCACGTGTCCCATGATGTGAGGTTTGAATCTGGGATCTGAATGTTCCTCGCCCCGGTGTCATGATTTGCTCCCTGGGAGTTGGGCATGACTTCCATGCGGGAGGTGTGGCTAGTTTGATGGAGCCCCTCGTCCTCGTTCTCACCGTCCTCGTTGTCCTCGTCTTCATCCTCGTCTCCGTCATCTTCGTCTCCGTCCTCTTCGTCGCTTGACTGAGCTACCCTGTCACCTTCAATCCAACTGGAGCATCTTGGGGCTTCCATGCTCCAGTCCACTTCCTTCGTAGAGGTCGCCATGGCAGTCTCAGAGATAGCCGAGAGATCCTTGTGTGCCTTCTCAGTGGTATCTGCATTTGCCTTGTTCTTGTCGTTGTTGTTTTGTAGCCGCAGGGTCGAGTAACGATTCCTGAGAGCAAGCGTGGTCCTGCTGGGACGATGCGAAAATGCGATAGTTGCCCAGTTGGTGCCGTAGGTGAGAACTGCGTGTAGCAGGTTCGCGTCCTGAGAGCCGTCAGTGACCACAGAACAAGAATGTACTTATTTTCGGGATGTAGGTGGAACCTCTTCGGCAGTCCAATCACAATAATTGATGTTCGGGTCCAGCACCTGGCTCCAGTGGCTGGAGCATTGGTCGGGACTTCTTGACCCAACCTCGCATGAGACCCTTATCCAATTCGTCCCGTACCTGCGAACAGCTGCAATGAGCCGTTCGTCCTCTTCCTCGGACCATGAGCCCTTGGCCGTGCCATTTGCGAGACTGTTCCACCATCTTCTGCGACAGTCTTTGTTCGTCCGTGCAGGTACACACTTTGCCAACTTCCGCCACAGTAGCGGGCGCGATTCCGCCTGAGCTGTGCAGGATTAGGATCGTGTGATAATGGAGGCGAGAGAGAACTACGGACTCTCCCCTAGACTAGACAACAGCGAACCAAATCGTTTTTCTTTGGGTGTGCATCTATTCTAGGGGAGACTAGGTAGATATCTCGAGTTCGAAATCAGGAGCCGAATTTGGAACTCACCAGTCTTGACAGCTGATCGGAGGAGAGCATCCTCCTCTGCCGTCCACTTGCGTCTCACGCGGGCCATGTCATTGGAGCCCGCACTGCCTCTCCGAAGGAATTCAAGTTGATGGATGGTTACTGATAATTTGAAGAAAAGGGGGAACCTGGGCCTGCTTTCTCGAATATACTCGTAGAGGCAGCAGGAGTCGGTTCGAAGTGGGAATCATTTTTGGTGTGGAGCATGTTTTCACGGGTTGTGGTGGTCAGCTTCGTCAGCTCTTGGCCCGCGTAGGAACGTCGGCATATTGCATGGGAGTCGGCACAGATACTGATCCTTTATGCACATGGTGAGACCTAATCGCAAGAACAGCTCAAGATATTCAGCGCCGGCCTGTTTCCACACCGCAAGTTCCGAGGCGATTGTGTTCAAGCCTGAGCAATGTCACTCTCTCGTTGTTGGCACCAGGAATATGTTCCTGGTTAGGGATGATTTTTCGCCTGTCATATAACTAGCTCCCGCAGCGGAGTGGCCATTAGCACCGCCCTAGTCTCGGCCTAAGACCGTCGATCCCATCATCCCACGCATTGGTGTGGACCCATTTATTTTAGGCTGGGGGCTAGCTAGGTAGCCGAGGCCCTTAAGGCACGCAATCTTTGCTCATTGCCAAGAGGAGATAAGTACAGTGAGCTGACTCAACGACGGCAAGAACAGCAGCGGCGGGAAGATGAGCAGTGTGCGTTTAGCGAAATGCTAGCGCGCGATGACGAAAATTAGGAGCTAGGGAGGAAACAAGAAGGAAAAGGACGGAGAGGGAACGTGTTACTGGGTAGGATGCACCCGGAAGGCCGCCCAGAAAAAGGGAACCACCGCACACCAATGCGTGGCATAGGTAGTAGCAGGTATTTAGTTCAGTGAGAGAACCGCATAGTAATTTACCTAGGTACATTCTACAAGCCGTCCACGCCTAGCTGATGTGCACTGCCTTTGACCCCCAGGTTTCATCGCCCTTCACCCAGCTCAGAGATCGACCGATTAGCCACGAGCGAAATCCATCGCTGCGGAAAGTCTTGAGCTGCTGCCACAGTCTTCCTCCATTCAAGTTCGTTTCATGGAATCCAGAATACCACGAACACCAGCGAAATCAAATTCGCTCAGTGTTTCCTCCCAGAGTCTTTCTGTAATCTCCTTTCCCTCGGGTGTGTATAAGAAGCCGGCGAATCTGAACAGTGTTTTGCGTCTTAGCCAGAGCCGGGAGTGGGTTGCGGGAATGGAGAGAACTTACGGGTGGATCTGCCAACTCATGATAAAACATCCATGTGACTCCGATCCTTTGTTCACAAGGGCATCCAGATACGTCGAGGCGCCATCCTTCTTAGTTCTACCAGTGATCGCGCCGAAGAGTGCGGCGGCTACCTTTTGCCCCCCGCGGGCGTCCCGGGTCAGGTCTGTGCCCTTGACGAAGCCTGGATCTGGTAGATTCACGATAACATCGTTGGCCGAGACATAGTCGACGAGTTTCCAGAGGAACATGTGCGCAAGGACCTTGGACGAATTGTAGCGATCGATGGGGTCAAAGTACTTGGGGTCATCGAAGGATGGCAGGAGGGGCACTTCGTTCCGATTGGGAAACTTAGCAGCGAGAGCAAGTGCGGCGTTAACAATTGTTAACCGACCTGCCGTCCCGGGTGGAGATTTGCTCTTGAGACTAGGAAGTAGAAGGATGGTGAGTAGCACAGTTGACAAGTAGTTGATCTGGATAGTCTCCTCGTGGCCGGTGCTACGAACGGTATCGAAGGAAAGCTTGCGTACGCCGGCATTGAGGACAACCATGTCCAGGCGAGTTAAATCGGTATCGACGCGTCGAGCAAAAGCCCGGATGGAATCCATCGAGCTCATATCCAGCGGCCATATCTCAATTTTTGCTTTGGGGTACTGCGACAGGAGTTGTCTGGCAGCTGCTTCTCCTTTCTTAGTCGAACGCACGGCAAGGATGAGGTGTGATAGTTTGAATGACAAGAGTTGGCTGGCGGCCTCGAGACCGAGTCCAGCGTTGCCTCCGGTGATGATGGCGACCTTGTCGGAGAGGTTGGTGGTTTGTGATGGCCATTCAGGCTTCGCACGAAATTGATTGTGGAAGAAGACATTGGGGAAAAAACGAGCGTTTGAAGGCTGCAGGTCCTTTGAGCCGACCATGTTGGTTGAAGTGTGAGCGTATTAACTTTTGGAGCGGGAGTGAGGGTGAAATAGGAGTAATGGTTCGAATTGTTGTTATGGAAATGTATATTAGGCAGCTTGCCGTCTCCTTACTTCAAGTCAAGTGAGGGAATTGTTCGAGCTGGGCCGAGTCACATGACAGGGCTCCCCTAAGTCATAGGTGGTTGTAGGAGTCGCTGATTGGCGGTACCGGGATTTTAATCATTTCAAACTCGATGAAATCGATGCTATGCTCAGAAAGGAATACAATAACAATGTAAGGCAAATGGTGGCTACTTCCATTCGACTACCTTACCTTAAGCCCAAAACAGCATACAATCTAAGGTACTTTAGTCTTGGGGATGATAAGAACGCTATGCCCAAACTGGCAAACAATCTCAGCCGCCACTCCCGAGGTGCTAAGCTAGTGTCCGCTAGCTGCTGTACCAGATCCGGCCCGACTCTAAGGTAAGGTAAGCTAAGGTACGGTAATCCTCGGTTAAAGTATTCCAAAGAAATGATTGATCCTAAGTACCTACCGTACATTATTTGTAAGGCTGCAGTGAGCGGAGAATAATAATGCAGATCGATGCGCGTCTGCATATATCCCACACACCTTTCTTCGGCTCTTTTGATCGCTTTGACTTGCCGTACTTACCTCAAAGCTAGAGATCTGGTCACGTGACGTGCCATTACCCTACACCCTTGATTCAGCATATTGTATGCAGCCGTTAATTGACCTAAGCCGAGAAAGGATTAGAGTCGACTAGGGTACCCAAGTTACGCGCCCCACCCGCTGTGCTGCTGTAAAGTCACACCCGAACTTCTCAACACTGTGCCGATGTCCATTTCTGGCATTCGGGCCAACGCTTTGACTATATGACTGCTCTAAAGCGCTCGGGTGAGTAATTCTCTGGCCAAGGTAGTGTCGAGTGATACTTGATCTTAACTGTCTCGTTGAGTAGTAGGGATGCCTTTCGTGGTATCGACTAGTGTAGAAAAGCCTGATCCAGAGGTGCGCAAGCTCATCAGGAGCCATGTGATGTTGGGAAAGAACCAGGGGAAGACTCGGTGCTCAAGAAGGCGAGAGGCGAGCAATGTAGCAGACAAATCCAGCCCGGATGAAGATCTGGGTGCGCCATCAGCATCGTTCATCATGGCGTCTCACTCTGTCATCCCTCCAAAAATCGGCTCGGATCTATCCACAATTCGATTTGCCGACGCTGTAGAGCCTTCCAAGGTGGAGTTCGTTCTGCGTTGTGAGTTGATTTCCCTCCCCCTCCCCACCCCCACCCTTCCCAAATATATTGGACTTCAAGGCTGTCGGGGTCTGCTGCACCTGTGTACATTGCTCACATAATCCATCGTCACACCAGTCTCTTCCATCGCTAAACAAACATTGTTCCCCCTGGATTCTTGCATACTCTTCGAGAAAAGGGAGGAAGCATGGATGGAGCCTCTGGCATTTGACCCGGCCTTCCTCAACGCCATGATTTTCACAACACTAGACTATTTCGACTCCATGCGGCATCGCAACCGCTACACGATGAGCCAGCAGACGTTGCCGCACTATCTGAGGACACTCCGACTTCTCCGCGAAAGGTTACTACATGAGAATGACCAGGCTCTTACGACCCCCACGGTATCGGCGATCTTAGCCCTAGCTGCGCATGCACACTTCGTGGGTGATTCCGAGTCCGCTAAGCATCATTTAGGAGGTCTTCGCAAAATAGTCAGCTTGAGAGGAGGCGTAGCCACCTTCAGCGACAATGCAAAATTGCTGGTTGAAATCCTCCGGTACGAGCCACATCTCAGGACGGTGTTTCCCATGATTGAATAGGAACAGCTTCTAATTGCCCTGCAGGTGCGACATAGGGATATCATTTCACAGTGGCTCAAGACCGTTGTTCTTCAACAAATCTTCTTCCCAAGAGCCTTTTCTACCGTATCCGGACCAGACGTTGCTGTTCAAGTCGATGTTGAAGACGACGGTAAGAAAGACTCAATACGATTCGGAGATCTTCCTTCGCGACATAGACGACGAGCTCGCAAGTGCCTGGAGGGTCATGGCGGGATTTTGTCTAATGATCAATCTCGCTGCCGAATCCAAGAATCGAATCGCTACAGAAACTTTCCTAGACACCATGGCTTCAGTCATATATCGACTGCTCGATATGACTCACTTCGAAGCAGGCTCTACTGAGGAAGCTATCCGCCTAGGTCTTCTCGCCTTCTCATCTAGCATTTTCCTCCAGTGGAAACAGCTTGGGATGTCTTATGATCATCTAGCCACTACGTACAGAGAATGCCTTGCCGAGTTGAGAGTTGAGAGTATTCCTTCTCGGCTTCTGCTTTGGCTTCTCATGGTTGGAGCTGTGTCGGTCTTTGGGTGCGCCGACGACAAGTGGTTGAAGCCTTGGTTGCGCGTCAACATCGACCTGGGCGAGGTGGAATCATGGAGTGATATGCAAGACATTTTGAAGCCTCTCATGTGGATTGGGTTGGTACTGGACGAGCCTGGGAAAGATGTGTTTGACTCATCATTCGTGTACGACCTAGTCACTCCTCCGCTTGACCACTCGCCCATGTCTATAGGCAGTCTGTAAAGAAGTAGACAATTGATCGATGCCTTACAACCGACTGCAGAATTAGTGCACTCGAGCTTACTAGCAGTGCGTCATGGAATCGATTTGAAGATGCTTCTCACTAAAGGCATGAATATGTTGGACCGACATGGTCTGAGAGGATTCAACTGTGATCTTTAGGCTACATTCACCAATGAAGGTGTCAACTTAGGCAGAGGGAATCGCAACGAATCTATGATGAAAAACATTCAAGGACATATGACCGCTCTGTCCCCACCTAGACTACAATGCAAACCGAATCGCACT